TACAATGAGGGGTCGACTTTTAACTTGGACTAATGTAACTCCTTCATGCAATAAACTGTGAAGAGTCATGCTGTCTAGTTAAAAAAAAATGAGATACCACTACATTCTCACTAAAATTAAAGGACCAAGAATACCAAGTGTTGGTAAAGATGTTACATAACTGGAACTGCCATACATTGCTTGTTAGAATGTAAAATGGTACAATAATTTTACAAAGGAGTTTGATAATTTTTTTTCTTTTTTGGAGATGGAGTAGCACTCTGCTGCTCATGCTAGAGGGCAGTGGCATGATCATAGCTTACTGCAGCCTTGACCTCTTGGGCTCAAGTGATCCTTCCATCTCAGCCTTCTGAGTAGCTGGGACTACCGGTTCATGCCATCATGCCTGGCTAATTTTTTGTAGAGACGAGGTTTTGCCATGTTGCCCAGGCTAGTCTCGAACTCCTGGGCTCAAGCCGTCTGCCCATCTCAGCCTCCCAAAGTACTGGGTTTACAGGTGTGGGTCACTGTGCTCGGCTGATAATTTTTTTAAAAGTTAAATACATAGCTACCATATGACCTAGCCATTCTACTCCTATGTATTTAATATGAAAACATATCCATGGAGATTTGTATATGAATGTTCATTGCAGCTTTATTTCTAACAGTCAAAACCTGAAACAACTCTAATGTCCATCCACAGCTGAACAGATAAGCAAAATGTGATGTATATCCATACCACAGAATTATTCGGACACAAAAAGGAATAAAACAGCAACACATACCACACGGATGAATCTCAAAACCATCATGCTGAGTGAAAGACAGGCATGAAAGAGTACCTACTGTATGATTCTATTAATAAAAAGTTCTAGAAATGCAAACTAATCTCTAGCAATAGCAGCAGATCAATGGTTGCCCAGGGACAGAGGCAGAGGGAGGAATGGATTGAAAGGGGCATAAGTACTTTGGGGTTGATGGAAATGTTTGCCATTTTGCTTATGATGGTGCTTTCATGGGAGTATACGCTTGTCACAAATTCGTTGAATTGTATATATATATATTTTTGAAACAGTCTTACTCTGTTGCCCAGGCTGGAACGCAGTGGCGCAATCTTGGCTCACTGCAACCTCCACCTCCTGGGTTCAAGCAATTTTTGTGCCTCAGACTCCTGAGTAGCTGGTATTACAGGCATGAGCCACCATGGCTGGCTAATTTTTGTATTTTAAGTAGAGACAGGGTCTCACCATGTTGGCCAGGCTGGTCTCAAACTCCTGACTTCAGTGACCCCCCAACCTTAGCCTCCCAAAGTGCTGGGACTGCAGACGTGAGCCCGTGCCCAGCCTGAATTGTACACTTCATATATGTGGATTTATTATGTTAAATATACCTCAATAAAGTAATTAGAGGAGTTTAAAGACCTATGATGAACTTTTTTGGAAGAAGAGATAATTCTGCCTTAAACTGACTTTGAAATGTTGGCTTTGTTTTCAGAGAGATCATCCACCTGACAAAGACTAAGTCATCTCAGGCACTACTAAGAACTAGTGCCTGTCATATTATGTTACTTAGCTCCTTGCTCCTTTGAGTCAAACAGATATAGGAATGCTGGAGTCAGTTCTGCCACTTATTAAGTTATGTAGCCCTGGTCAAGCTTCTCAACCTCTCTGCCTCAGGTTCCTCACCTCTAAGATAGGGATATAACTTGTACCTCAAAAAGTTGTTGTGGTCCTTATGGAAATTAATGCATGCCAAGCACTGAGAAGAGTGCATGGAACAAGCTAAGTGCTGTATGGATGAACTATTTGTATTGTTGTTCAGGATTTTGTCTATTTAACTGACATAGTGAGATGTTCTCCCAATCAATTACTCTAGTAACTACAGAAAGACAAATAAGGTTACCTATAAAAAGGACAGAAGTATCTGAAATGAGAACCTAATTATTCGTATTTCAAGCTAACTGATGTTTTAGAGGGACTGTCTTTATAGAAGTTGAAAGATGGACCTGATCCTTATTCTCTTTTCTAATTGCTCTGATTTTGAACCAACTTTTTTTTTTTTGAGACATGGTCTCCTTTTGTCACCCAGGTTGGAGTACAGTGGTGCAATCTTGACTCATAGCAGCCTCAACCTCCCAGGCTCAACTGATCCTCCTGCCTCAGCTTCCCCAGTAGCTGGTACTATAAACATGAACCACCATGCCCAACTTTTTTTCTGTATTTTTTTTGCAGACATAAGGTCTTGCTTTGTTGCCCAGGTTGGTCTCCAACTTCTGGGCTGAAGGAATCCATCTGCCTCAGGTTCCCAAAGCAGTGGGACTTCAGGCATGAGCCACCATGCCCGGCCAAGTCTTTTTTATTTCAGTAAAAATATGGAAAACCGTTGTGAAAGTTAAAGTAACAAAAACTGCACATCAACTACTGTTTAAATATGAAACCCGAGTTACTCACACTTCAAAACGTTCTAAAAAGAGCTTCATATCTTAAATACTAGGAATTGTTCTACTTTTCTTAATTCTAGATTTACCAATCTGTTAAGTTCCACCCCTTTTAGAAACAGCAAAACCCGAATTCAACTTTTTAAACACCTTCATTTTCTCACAAAATGCAACTTGATGCTAATTTTTTTTTTTTAAAAAAGACAGGGTCTTGCTGTTTTGCCTAGGCTGATCTCAAACTCTTGGGCTCAAGCAATACTCCCACCTTGGCCTCCCAAGTGCTGGGATTACAGGCATGAGCCACCATGCCTCGCCTAACTATTGCACTGTATGAAATGTTTTTCAGATATCTTATGTTTGATGAATAAATCAACTGAATCTGAATGAAAAATTTAATAAAAATTTTCATGCCTCACATGACCTGTTGTGATACAGTATTTAATAATATGGAGTAAGTTTTTTTTTCTTTTTTTGGAGATAGGGTCTCACTGTCTCCCAGGCTAGAATGCAGTGGCGTGATCTCGGCTCACTGCAGCCTCTGCTTCCCAGGCTAAAGCAATCCTCCCACCTCAGCCTCCCAAGTAGCTGGGACTACAGGCACACACCACCATGCCCAGCTAATTGTTTGTATTTTTAGTAGAGATGGGGTTTCGCTGTGTTGCCCAAGCTTGTATCAAACTCCTGAGCTCAAAGAATCTGCTACCTTAGCCTCCCAAAGTGCTGGGATTACAGGCATGAGCCACCATGTCTGGGCATGATAGGTTTTTACATATTTATTAAATATCTATAATCTTTGGGGAAAAAGTTTTATAAGCAAAATTGGGATGTTAATTTGGTTATATTTTAGGTGTCAGTAGCTTATTTCTTCTTCCCCTCTAATAAATACACCAAATTAATAACATGGTTCTATACTTTTCAATCTAACTCACTAAGATACATTGAAACATTTGATATCTCTCCATTATTTGCACCTTGTTTCTCTCAGCAATGTTATTTCATTTTCAGCGTATTTTATTATTATTTTTTTTTGAGATGGAGTTTTGCTCTTTTTGCTCAGGCTGGGGTGCAGTGGCGTGATCTCGGCTCACTGTAACCTCCACCTCCTGGATTCAAGCGATTCTCCTGCTACAGCCTCCCGAGTAGCTGGGATTACAGGCATGTGCTACCTTGCCTGGCTAATTTTGTATTTTTAGTAGAGACGGGTTTCACCATGTTGGTCATGCCGGTCTTGAACTCCTATCTCAAGGGAACTACCTGCCTCGGCCTTCCTAGGTAGTGACACCATCCCAGCCTCCTGAGTACTTGGGATTACAGGCACTCACCATCATGCCTAGCTAATTTTTGTATTTTAGTAGAGACGGGGTTTCACCATGTTGGCCAGGGTGGTCTTGAACTCCTGACCTCAGGTGAACTGAGGTGCCTGCCTTGGCCTCCCAAAGTGCTAGGATTACAAGTGTGAGCCACCATGCCCAGCCATTTTTTTAAAATCTCAATTTCTAATAGCTTTTTGTTAGCATTTAGAAATACTATTGATTTTATACACGGAACTTGTATTTTACTCCCCTGCTTAATTCACTTAACTACTCTAGTTGCCTTTTCCTTGATTCTGGAGGGCTTTCTACATAGATGATCATATAATCTGTGGATAAAGACAGTATTATTCCTTTCCAATCTGTAAACCTTTCTTCTTGCCTGAATGTACTGGCTAGACGCTCTTGTACAATACTGAATAGAAGTGATGAGAATGGGTATCCTTGTTTTATTCCTGCTCTTAAGGAGTTCTGTAACCTAATACTATTCTAATCTTAGGAAAGACAAGGCAGAGCACAACACTAAGTTTTGGGAGACTAGGCAACTGATTCTGTTATCTTTGCCAAAACGTGCCATTCGATTCCTTTTTTCTCCAGAGGTCAAATCCTATTTAAAGTGTTTTCAGAGAATTTAATTGGGGTAATAAATGCAACCTAATACCAGTCAACATCATGAATATTCTTTGCTATAATATAATGCTAGTTGTTAACCTTGCTTTTCCAGGAAATGAGATTAGTATCTGACCTACAGTTTGCCATGTTCTAGCTACTTCACATTAATACAACAATTACAAAAATAACTAAGGGTTTATTATGGCATATTCTCAATGATAAAATACAAATGAAGTAACAAAATCATTAATTGGGAGTATGTTTAGTATCAAATTCATATTTTTATTTAAAGTAAGTATTTGAATGACAATAATCATAAGTACTCTATGGCTAGCTAGCTCAGGAATCATGCTTGTGAAGTTAGTTTTACTTGGATCCAAAGCAGACAGCCTACATCAAAGGCCTTCAAGTATGCACCATTCCTTCTAATGGGTTAGGTAATGTGAATGGGTTTGTAAGAAGGGGGAAGTGTAAAAATGCTCATGTCCTTGGGAAGCTGAAGTAGGTGGACTGTTTGAGTTCAGAGTTCCAGACCAGCATAGGGAACACGGTGAAACACCATCTCTACTAAAAATACAGAACAAACAAACAAACAAACTAGCTGGGCATGGTGGCATGCGCCATAGTCCCACCTACTTGGGAGACTGAGATGGGAGAATCACCTGAATCTGGGGAAGTCAAGGCTGCAGTGAGCTAAAATTGTGGCTCTGTATTCCAGCCTGGGCTATCAGAGTGAGAACCTGTCTCAAAGAAAAAACAGAAACAAACAAAAAATGAGATCAATGCTTATGTGCTCACATATATGTAGAGAATATAGTAGGAACAATTCTTGGTCATTTTTACATGCTTAGTCAATATTTTCACTTATTGACACCTAATAAAGGCAACAAATCTGAAACTAACAAATAATCATTAATGTTTCTCCAGACATACTCCTCGCTAATCATTCTTCACAGCTGCCAACATCAGATTTATAGTAACATAATGTGCTCTGGTGTGCTTGTAGCAAACATGTCATGTACAGAGCACATATTTATGCAAAACAATGAACTACTCCTGATATCTTAGGAGTCTAATCCATAATTAAAACTGCATTTTCTCCAGTTACTCTTTTTCTCCCTAACTTCTCCCTAATAACTACTACTACTGACCCCTTTATTTATTATTATTTTTTTTTGAGACAGAGTTTCACTCTTGTTGCCAGGCTGGAGTGCAATGGTGAGATCTCAGCTCACTGCATCCTCTGCCTCCCAGGTTCAACCACTTCTCCTGCCCAGCCTTCCAAGTACCTGGGATTACAGGCCCGTGCCACCAGACCCAGCTAATTTTTTTTTTGTATTTTTAGTAAAGATGGGGTTTCACCATGTTGGCCAGACTGGTCTTGACCTCAAGAGATCCGCCCACCTCGCCTCCCAAAGTGCTGGTATTATAGGCGTGAGCCGCTGTGCCCAACCACGACTGAGCCCTTTAAAAGGGCTGGCCTAATTCATCTGTATACCCTTGGTACCAAGTATAGTATCTGGCACATAACAGGAGCTCAAAAATGTTTTCTGAATAAACTTAAATTATTTAGCTAGATTTTCTTACGTTGTTTGACTTGAGTCTCTGCTTAATATCATGGAAACAAAGGAAAATATTTTTAGGCAATTGCTGTGTAAATGAGTTAATTACTCAATAAGTAGCCAGAAATGTCCTTCACTCCAAAACTGAGTCAATTTTTTTTTTTCTTAAAAGCAGGTAGATTAATTGTTATATTCTCTGGAGTTTTTGTAAAAAAAAAAAAAAGAAAAAAGAAAAGCAGGTAGATCTGGGCACGATGGCTCAAGTCTGTAATCCCAGCACTTTGAGAGGCTGAGGTGGGTGGATCATTTGAGGTCAGGAGTCCAAGACCAGAACGGCCGACATGGTGAAACCCCGTCTCTACTAAAAACACAAAAATCAGCTGGGCCTGGTGGTAAATGCCTGTAATCCAGCTACCTGGAAGGCTGAGGTAAGAGAATCACTTGAACCAGAGAGGCAGAGGTTGCAGTGAGCTGAGATTGTACCACTGCACTCTAGCCTGAACAAAAGAGACTCCGTCTCAAAAAATAAATTTAAAAAACCAGGCAGATAACCAATAATTTTTGTTTTTTGCAGTTTTGTTTTTACTATGATTACTCAGGAATATCATTATTTAGTGAAACTTGTTTTAACTGTCAAAAATATTTGAGAAACTTCACTGAATAAATTACAAAGTGTCCTGGAAAATCTTGACACCACAATTATAAATTCTAGGTATGTATATTTCTTTTCATTTAACTATGGAAACATGGTGCTTCTTTGGGTTTTTGTGATTAATTTCTCCATTTCCTATTTGTAACCTTATATCTCCTATATCTTCTTTACCTGCCAACTTATTTTTGAGACAGGGTCTTGCTCTGTTGCCTGGTTTAAAGCATAATGGTGTGATCACAACTCACTGTAACCTTGACCTCCTGGGCTCAAGCAGTCCTCCTACCACAGGCTCCCAAGTAGCTGGGACTACAAGCATACGCTGCTATGCCTGGCTAATTAAAACCATTTTTTCTTGTAAACAGGGCCTATTTTGCCCAAACTGGTTTCAAACTCCTGGGTTCAAGCAATCCTCTGGCCTTGACCTCTCAAAGTGATAGGATGACTGGCAAGAACCACCATGCCCAACCTTTGCCAATTTTTAATCTTTACTGACATTTGCTCATTATCAAGATCAATATAATGATCTTGGAGTTCCTCAGAAGGGTGCTATAGGTATAGGTGAAAATGGATTAGCAGATGCTCTTGAAATCAGTTTTAATGGTCCTATCAGAATTTTGAAAGTGAGGGTAGAATTTTAACAACTGGAAACATGATAATTCTTTGATACCTTTGGAGGAATCTGCTAACAAAGTCTTAAAAAAAATTCTAGCTAAGTGCCAAGCACACTTTTTTCCATTTTGGCAATTATTTAAAACTTTTATAAATACCTAAAACAAAAATATACTGAGTTCTAGTAGTGTTTTAGATAGTGTGACATATTGAGTATTTGCCAATTGTAAAGTGGCAGTAATTGAAACTTTAATGAAGGCTATTTACCAGAAGTGACAATAGGTAGTTTTTAAGGTAACAATTATATTGTTTTTCAAATTCTAGTGAATAGTCTGAACCTTAACTCAACAGAGATTACTCTGAATGTTGCCTGAGATTACTCTTTGAATGTCAGCCATTATGGGGCAAAGTTTCATATGCTTTATGAATTACTATTTTAGTACCCAGCCATGTCAAACCATGGAAAGAATATCAATACAGATGTGTTAAATCAGTTCATAATTTTAAAGCTGTAAAAGACCCAAGTTTGTTTAGTGCAGGGTTCTTCAAACATGACATTACTGACATTGAGTAGGATAATCCATTGTTGTGTAAGTATGGGAATTGTCTTGTGCATTTTAGGATGTTTGTGGCCTACACCAAGTAGACGCTGGTAGTACCTGCACTTGCTCACCATGTTCCTTGTGGGTTTAGATGATAATCCCAAATATTGAAATCCCAAAAGACTAAAATCCCAATTGCAGGATAGTTGCATCATGTTAGGCCAGCTTTCACGGACTATCTCTGTGCAACTGCCCATAATCTACTCCTGTAATATATTTGCTCATTTGCCAATTTTTTTTCACTATTTTAAATTGTCAGATTAAAAAAATAATAATTCACCATGCTATGTATTTCCCCTTTGCATCATTTCCAACATCGGAAGTGTAAACTGCAGACCTTTAGCATTCTAATTTGTCTTATCCATTTTTTGTAAATTTGACTTCATGAAAGTACATTATCAGAACACTGACTTTGTAAGCACTGTCCATGTACCTAAAAACGTTGACTTCCTCAATAAATGAAGAGATTAGAGACGTCTTTTGCCTATCTGCATTTTTGAAAGTAAAAATTTCTTGAGGTTTCACCTCTTTGGGCAACTGTGTAAGTGAATAGTGACCCTTTGTAGTTTTTGATCTATCTCATCAAAAGACTTAGGTTGTCTCAGTATTTCAGATGGCCAGTTATAAAGCTGGGGGCACACAACTACCAACCATAGTGATATGCTTTTATACATTTCCATTTTTGACCTACTTCTTTATAAACACAGCTCATCTGCTCATAAATGTTATATGCATGTGACTGTCAGTATACTTGAATGTTTATTTGCAAAAACGTTACTATTGCCTTTTATTCTGTAAAATGACCTATGAAGTGCTGTCATGTTTTTGTTTCTTAAATTCCCCTTTAAAAATGTAAATAAACACATTTTAAATTAAAAAAAAAAAAACAACTTTTCCCAGATCTATTATTTCTAAGATTTTGGGGATTTTAGACTTTAGGAATTTCAACAAATAATTTGGGATTGTGTCTTCTGGAATTATGATTGGCTCTTGTCCCTCTCTGCTCAGTGATGACAACCTAAAATATCTCCACATTGTCAGAGGTCTTCTGGGGGGTACAATCATTCCTACTTGAGAGTCACTGGGCTGGTCCAATTCTTCCACCCACAGATGACAAAACTCAAATCCAGGAAGTCTGAGACTCAGGGTCATTTAGCTATAGCAGAAACTAACACTAGAACCTATAACTAGTCAGACTCCTATTCCAATATTCACGTTTTAGAAAGGTTACTGCTAGTATTGTGTGAACTGACATCTTTTAAAGTCTTCTGCCCACATTTGAAGTCACTGCAAAATCAAAAACAAAAACAAATGCCGAATCTGGCAAAAAAGCTTTTTCCATGAGAAGCTGTTTCCAAATCTTACTGTGGTCTGGTCATGGGAGCCAAACTGAATTGTAGTCCTTAAACTGCGCAGGCTTATTTATCAGTGAAAGGCAGGAAACTTGTTGTAAAAGCAATATATAATCCAGGAGATTTTATCTTTTAAAATCTCAAAAAAAATGATACTACATCCAGACTGACTGAAGACACTAAATCTAGTCTTCCAAAATTGCCTTCATAAGAGAACTTAATAGAACATCATTTGGTTGCAATGACTAATTCCCATTGTTAGCGAATAGCAAAAGTGCTTACGAAAATGTTTTAAAGAAATTTGCAGTGTTTTACTCCTCTGCCAGTTCTCCAAAGTCAATTGACACAAAGCCAACTGTGTAAAATATTATGGGATAACATACAAAATACAACATCATGAAAAAGGATAAAGAAGAAATTAATATTTTTATGGGGTTATTACAGTGATGGGTGTCTCTTCTGGGAAAAGGAATCTAAATTATTCTACAATATTCTGGCCCCCATCATCTTTCACTCTGAAGACAAAAAGCAACATAAGGCACAGCAAATACTAAGAATTTTGATGCTGAACATGGCTGAATGTTTTACTTAGGTCTTCTGCAGTGGGATCAAGCACTATCAACTAAAATCATTCCCCAAACTGCTTTAAGCCTTATCTCATAGTTTGCAACCAGCAGGCTCTTTGTAGACATATGGAACTATTACAGCAAGAACTCAGCCATCTTAGATTAAGATGATTAACAGCCTTTTCTGTTAGGGAAAATGTGCTGGAGAACTACAAAACTCTCCACACCCCTGGAGAAATGACTAAAATTTAACATGGCTTCTAGAAGCCTAAGGCCACATCCAGCCCTCTTTTGAGTTCCTGTTGGAAAAGCCAGGCTGTCAAAAAAATTTTACTGTTTGTTCTAGCCAACACCTAGTAACAGCTCCCTGACTTCCCTTTTAAAAAGCATTTACTAAAAAGGGCTCACAACCACGAATCTTCCTCTGTTCCTTTGAGATGTTTGTACCTCTTATAACTCAAGAGTGTCCCCAAGGACCTGGAAGCCATTGCTCTGAAATGTAACCAGGAAGGATGGGGCCTGACTCCCAGTCTCTGCGGGAGGACAGTATCTTAGATAATTTCCAGATAGGAGACACAGCTGGCCTACTTGCATTTATACACTGACCAGCCCTTTGTAATTTTTCACCTCCCTGACTCTACTTGAGCCCTGTCTTCCCCCTCCCTACTCTCTCCTTCTCCTTTTAAAATTCGCAGTTACCTCTGTGAAAATCGGAATGGACCTCAGTCTTTCCCCGACACTGTCAGTAGTTTGGGAATAAAATCTTTTTTCAACGGTTTAATGTCCAGCTTTGTATATCTCTAACATTGGTAGGTACATATTAAAACACAGCTGGGCGCGGTGGCTCTTGCCTGTAGTCCCAGCTACTCCGGAGGCTGAGGCAGAAGGATCGCTTGATCCCAGGAGTTGGAGGCTGCAGTGAACTATGACCGCGCCACTGCACTTCGGCCTGCGCACAGCGAGATCCCCGTCTCTAAATTAGAGGATTACACACACACACACACACACACACACACACACACACACAGCGAGATCCCTGTTTCTAAATTAGAAACACACACACACATCCCGTCTCTAAATTAGAGGAACACAAAGATCCTCGTCTCTAAATTAGAGGAAAACACACACACACACACACACACACACACACCCTGACCACTATCAAGATAGGCCTCTAACTCTTAGAAGCTTGTCTTACAGGGTCATATCCTCAAAAGCCTAGGAAACTATCCAAAGTGATCCCCCCAAACCTCATGCCCTCTTCTCTTCCCCCAAGGGCCCCGCAACTTCCTGCTCTCCCAGGGGCCTAAATCCACCTCTAACTAAGTGTTCTACGTCGAAGTCTCTACTTTCCAGGATGTTGAACTTCAACAAACGGAGGCTTACTCTGTTCCACGTCTTGGGCTTTTTTCTCCTTATCCCCCCTCAATTTTCGAGTTTCCTCATCAACCCCCCTTTCCTTTCCCTGACGCTCCAGGTCTAGATTTCAGCCTAATCGCGCCTAGTTTCCCACTCCAATCTCGGCTTCCTCCGCAAGCCGAGCGCCCCTTCCCTCCGCACTCCACTCGGAAGCCCTGGCGCCCCTTTCCGGGTGCGGCGGCCGGTGAGGGGTGCGCGGGACCGGCCACGCCCTGGTCGGCCATTTCGCACACCCGGGGCGCACCCGGCGGGCTGGGCGCGTGGGCCTGTCCTGTAGTGCAAAAGTTGAAGGGCTGAAGACCGGGCCGCCCCCGCCGCCGGGGCGGGAACTCACCTTCTCTGAGGCAGGGGCGGGCGTCTACAATTACTGTCCCCCGCCCCGCCAACGCCGCCGGCCAGGGGATA